TAAGCCAAGGAAAACAGGGAATAACCAGGTTTTAATCCTCCCAGACAATCCAGCCCCTCTTCTCCCCTGGCCAAGGATTCAAACCCCTCTAGGCTCCAAGTTTTCCTCCAATATTTAATGGGAATGAGATTAAAAAAGGGGAAAAAGAGGAATAAACACCCAACAAACAAGTTGCCTGAAGACACTAGAGGAGCATCCCAGGTGCATCTGACTTGGATGCAAAGCCCCTGAGGCCAAACACCTCCTTCCCTTTCCCATTTCCCAGATTCTGGGGATGAATCCTGTGAATTTGCAGCTTTAGGAAAACGGGGGGTTATGTTTTTTATTCTAGATTTGAGATTTATTCTTCATTTCACCTTAAACCCCAAGAGGCCGGAGCGAGTCGTCGTCTCCCACCCCCTCCCCTCATTCTCCAGCCCGTCCCTTTAAGCCATCCCAGAATATTTCCTCATCACTCCTGAGCAAGGAAACGGTGCTTCCCAAATATTTACACTTTAAGACATTCCAAGGAAAAAAAACAAAGAACCAACCATCACAACATCCAACGTTTCAGCACCCAAAGTTCTGGCTGCTCGAGGTTCTGCACGAAGGAGTCGCCGAGTCCATCACCCAAACCTTCCCCCTTTCCCTGCATCCAAGAGTTAAAACCTAATTAACCTCCCTTTAATTAGCTTGATTCTGGCCTGGCTACGGGTGGGAAGTGCCCAGAAACACCAACCACGTGTCCTTGGGACTGTGGCATTATCCCTAAAATCTTTCACTTTCTGCTGTTCCCAAATCTTGGGAGTCCCTCCAAGTTTTCCCTCATTTCATTCCCCTGCTGCTCTCAGTGATAGATCCAAGGATCTAAATGATCCTTCAGGTCCCTTCCAATTCATTCCATGATCTAAGGACCATCCAGCCCCACCCCCTGCATGGGCAGGGACACCTCCCACCAGCCCAGGTTGCTCCAAGCCCCATCCAACCTGCCCTTGGACACTTCCAGGGATGGGGCAGCCACCTGAAGGATCATCTAGTGGATCATCTGGGTGGTCTTCAAGGTCTCTTCCAACCCAAACCATTCCATGATCTGAAGATCATCCAGTCCAACCCCCTGCACAGGCAGGGACACCTCCCAGCAGCCCAGGCTGCTCCAAGCCCCATCCAACCTGCCCTTCAACACCCCCAGGGATGGGGCAGCCACAGCTTCCCTGGGCAACTACCATCAAGGAACGTCATTTCCAAAGGTCTCCTTCCCATCCCAACCTCCTGAGTGGCTGGGAAGGGCTTTCTTAGGAGAAGTGAACAAAACCACCTGCCCCCTGGGGACGTCAGGACAAGATTTCATTACCTAATGCTTGGGAAATGCCACCAAAAGCTCAATTAAACCCCACCCTGAGGAGTCACCGGCAGCATTTACGGGCTCGTTTTGGAGGCAGGAGACAGAGCAGCCAAAGCACCAGCTTGGGAAGAGTTTCCACCCCCCACCCAGGGGCTTCATTGACCTTTTCTTAAATAATTCTGGGGAAAACCCCCCAAAACCAGGAAGTTCATTCACCTCAGAGCTGGAAGCAACGACCCTGGGCCAATATTTCAAACCTTCACCTGCAGCAGAGCAGGAGATTCCAACTTCATAGGTAAAACCTCGTTCCACACGGGACCAGCTTCCCCATTTCCAACTGGAAATGTCAACTGGAGTGTCAACCCTTCCTGAGAAGCATTGAGCTTAATTAACATGGGCTCAAAACAAGGTGAAAAGGTGATTAACAAACGACTCCCAAACCTTCAGGTGTTTCTGGAAGGAAAAAGCCTCAGGGTGTTGCTTAAACCAACAAAAGGAAGGAGAGAAACAGCTCTGAGCTCACAAAGCTTTTTGGTTTTTAAATTTCAAACCCTCTCAAAAGGACCTTCACACCAACCTCAGCCCAGAAAAAGGTTCCTGGAAGGACTCAAGGGGTGAGAAGGTTTGAGGAGTCCCACCTTGCTCTTAATTAATGAGCCTTTATTGGAACAGGTGGAAAGGGGTGGGGAGAGCCTGGGCCAGGTTGCCCAGGGAAGCTGTGGCTGCCCCATCCCTGGGGGTGTTGAAGGGCAGGTTGGATGGGGCTTGGAGCAGCCTGGGCTGGTGGGAGGTGTCCCTGCCCATGCAGGGGGTTGGATCTGGATGATCTTTAGCTCATGGAATGGTTTGGGTTGGAAGGGACCTTAAAGATCACCCAGATTATCCATTCAATGATCTTCAAGGTGGCTGGAAGTGTTGAAGGATCTGATGTGGGGGTTTGGAGCAGCCTGGGCTGGTGGGAGGTGTCCCTGCCCATGCAGGGGGGTTGGATCTAGAGGATTTTTAAGGTCTTTCCAACCCAACCCATCCCATTGTTTTCCATGCAGGGGGTGGGACTGGATGGGCTTTAGATCATGGAATGGTTTGGGTTGGAAGGGACCTTAAAGATCACCCAGATGATCCATTCAATGATCTTCAAGGTGGCTGCTCCATCCCTGGAAGTGTTGAAGGATCTAATGTGGGGTTTGGAGCAGCCTGGGCTGGTGGGAGGTGTCCCTGCCCATGCAGGGGGGTGGATCTAGATGCTCTTTCAGGTCCCTCCAGCCCAACCCATCCCATGACCCTACGAGGATTCCATGAAAACGAGCTACTCACGCAGCTCCGCTCGGATCGGGCGCCATCGGAAGGTGCTGGAAGGAAGTTCCTGCTTCCTCCTCCTTCCCACCTGCATCCCTGCCCTGCCCGGGGCCGTTACCTAACGCTGGGAAGAGCAGCCCAACCCGGGATTAGCGCGGCCGCTCGACCTGCCCCCACCTAATACCTTGGTGATTGTCACTAAGCTCCCGGAGGGACCGCGCGGCTCCCGCCTCCAGCACCCAACTGGGAGATCCTCAGCCCGTCCCAGAGCCCAGGAAAATGGGGATTCCTGGTGGAAAGGGAAGGGGGAGCAAAGCTGGGAGGTCATTGACTCGGTCAGCTCGATGAGGAGGAGCTGAGGGAGCAAAAGGACACGTGGGAAAAGGGAGGAGTGGGAAATAAAAGTGTCACTGAGGGCAACACAGGGATGGGACAAGGAGGGAGATGGATGAAAAGTGGGAGAGGGAGCTGGAGGTTGGAGCTGAGGAGGGAATTGTGGAGTGTGAGGGTGGGGAGAGCCTGGGCCAGGTTGGCCAGGGAAGCTGTGGCTGCCCCATCCCTGGGGGTGTTGAAGGGCAGGTTGGATGGGGCTTGGAGCAGCCTGGGCTGCTGGGAGGTGTCCCTGCCCATGGGGGGGGTTGGATCTGGATGATCTTGAAGGTCCTTCCAACCCAACCCACCTCATGGTTCAATGACCTCGAGCTTCTCTCCAATGAGATGAACCAATCAGGGACACCCCAGCCTGGGAAGCCAAGCTCAGAAGCTTCCCAGAGCTTTTAGGCACAATCCAGGATCATCAAAACATATAAAAAAATCCTGGGTTGGGCTGGAGGGACCTTAAAGCTCATCCAGTCCCACCCCCCCCATGGGCAGGGACACCTCCCACCAGCCCAGGCTGCTCCAAGCCCCATCCATCCTGCCCTTGGACACTTCCAACATCCTGTCCCACACAGGTTTTCCAGCAGG